TTGAAATACAAGCACAGTGCTACTAAGCATTAAGTACCAACTCTGTACATATCACAGGCAATGGGAAGCATATGCCATTTCACATTCAGAGTACCCTTTTGCTATTTACCACTGACATTTAGCGCACGATCAGCAACGACTTCTAACCGGATCCAATCTCACTCTCATTCACCTGCTGGAAGCATGTTGCCATGTTCCATCACCTTGCAGTTACTGATAAGAAAGGGCAATAATAAGGTGCCATTCTCCTTGTCTTCATCTGATATACAGTCCTTTTGTACTTAATTTGATGCTTGGGTAGTGGTACTCAGCTTTCTACCATCTGATCTTGACATAGCAAGATTTTTCAATTTGAATCTTTATCTTACTGTCACTACAGTTTTCCTTTGTTTTCTTTTCTCGAAGTCCTAATCGAGGGCCTCAAACAACGACAGATCAGTGATTAGTAGAAGACCTATAAAACTCAAGTCAGACGGAGCTATTGGCTCCATCAACCCTACGGTTGGATTGTTCAAAGTAAAATCTACACAAACAGTGTCGACATTCACTGAATTGAGAATTCTAGTTAAAGCTAAACTGCTAGGAACAGGAGACTTGAGAATTCTAAAGTTGAGATTACTTGTTCTGGGTAATTTGGGCTTGTAAATTGTTTAACAAAAACAGCAACTGAACTAGAAATGTTAAAACTAGGCTTAGTAAACCATCTAAAACCAGCCTCAACTACTACATAATTGGCAACAACCTGACAGTGTACTACATTTCTAAGAAGTGTTATTTTGCAGCGACCGAACCAACAACTAGGATACTACATTTCTAAGAAGTGTTATTTCGCCGAGACCTCCTAACCAACTAGGAAATGCGAAATCTCAGGGCTTCAAGCTCCATTGCGCTCACTCCATGGTGCTACCCAGTGAATAGCAGCCATTGTATTAGTTCAGATAAAAGGATAATAATTAAGATGGATTTCCTCAGGTTTGATCGGTCAAAAGCACTCAAACTCTTCTCTTCCATCACGAATATTGAAAACAAGCCAGAAAAATAATACAACAAACTCCATTTCATAAGGATCTCTCCTTAAAAACTTCTAGTTAGAAGTGAAATGATATTCTACAGTAAATTAAATAGAAGAAAACAAAGAAGACTTAAAAGATGTATTCTACCATTACAAAATCTCAGTAGGAACTGGATGATCATTATCATAGCTTAACGCCTTTTCTTACTTCCCTTTGCAGCATTGGATTTGGATGGGCTAGCAACGAGATACATGAAGAGAACCACTATGGAGACCACTGAAACAAGCGATCCATATCTTGCCAACAATTTCTGCATTTTTAGGACAGTATGTAAGAAACGACGGAAATGCAGAGTTACAAAATAGAAATGTGTTTCAGTGACAAAAGAAGCCATCCAACTTGCTATCCCAACAAATCCATCACAATAATATACGAGTAGCTAGCATAACCCATGTTTTTAGTGTAATTCCCTAAGTTTTTAGTGACCCCAGACCTTTAGCATTCCCTAAGCTAATCCATCACAATTATACTATAATTTGAAGCCGCAATTGTAACAGTTGCATTCTTTCTGATAATCAATAAAAAGTGAAATTCCAAAGAAGAAAAAAAAAACATGGTTCAAAGTAACTGATTAGCTAGATATCCCATGATTACTCTACAAGTAGGATCCAAGTTTCAAGTTACAAGCAGAAATGGATGTGACTGGGGCTGAACTGCTTATTATGAGCAAATTAGTGAATATTGTTTTTTATGTCCATTAGGTCATCAAATTAAAAATTTGGCTGTACACCTCATTAGGTCATCAAATTAAAAACTTTCATCGGTTCCTGTAGACGCCCCTCTTTGCAAAGAACACAAATTAACTGTTGTATATGTAACTACTAGTGCTTAGGCCCATGCAGTGCACGGGCTATTTTTTGAATATTGCTTTTTATGTCCATACATGAATGAAAATGCAGGGAAAATAATATCAGATGGTTCTCACCTTTGCCTGATAAAAGTTTTTGCCACCGAAGAAGTCATCGTGAGAAAAAGTAGCAGAGAAAAGAAACAAAAGAAACACTTGTCAGTTCAAAAAAAA